CAGGAAGACAATGCAAATCTAGTCGCGGCCGCTCCAGCTGGGGTGGTTCGAAAAGGACACATCATCTACCCTGTTTCTTGCAATAACAAGCGCTGACTCAACATGCATGATGTCTTCCCACTGTCCCACACACGGATGGTCGGAGAGGTGCATGGTTGTCAAGGCAAAGGAGGCAGACATACCGACACTGACACCAGCATGGGTGCCAGTAAAGTTGCAATCGCTCTGTGATATGGCACCTATGCGGATCTGATCGTGGGCGCGGAGCAGGAAGGGAGAAAAGGCGCTCACGAAGGGTATGGTGCGCTCGCGCGTCCCCAAACCAATGGCCACTCCAACCATATTTTGCTCCGCGATAAAGCACTCGATGAACTGCTGTGGTTTCGCGTTGCGCAGGTAGATGGCAAAGGTGGAGTTTTTGGTGTCCCCATCGAGACCAATGACACGGGGATTGGCGCTGCCGAGGCGTTCAAGGGCACGACCATAGGCCTCACGGGTAGCCACCTAGACACACACACACACACACCCGAAGGGCACATTTTAAAGCCAGTCACAATACACAGGTTTAGCCCAATGATGATGGTAATACAAGCTTTCACTTGAAAAAATTAGCAAAGACAGGAATCATTGTTTCATGCCCAAATCTCGCGAGCTTCACACCAACTTGCGGCATGTGCACCTTTAACTGGGTGCTATCAGGTTTCGTCATTGAGTTTGCTTAAAAGCACTTGAGGCTCACCACCTTGTACTGACACAAATCTGCTGAATTAAAAACTGAGATCATCCAGTCAATTGAACCAAAGCTCGTTGGTACAGAGGACAGATGACCTGTAAGGTAAACATAAGTTCAGTCACGCATTCAAAACCAACGTTCATTCTCACCTAACCGCTTAAGACGTACGGGCGGTTTGCTATCGCGGGCACGCCAACAAACAAGCATTGGTTGCAGCAACCGCGGACCAAAGTTATCTGTACACGCCAAACCTCTTTTAATGTAATAAATCCTGGAAATATACAGCCTTCAACTCACCTTGTCGCCCTTCTTGTAAGGTGGAGGAGTAGGGATCTTCGTGGAGCCGATGAGAT